ATTTTTAGACAAATTTTTGCGTACGTACTTATTGAATGGCCCCTAATGTTAAAATTATAATGTTTAAAAATGTTTAAAAATGTTTAACACAAATAATTATTTCATAATAAATTATAACTAATTTGCGGATATTCCCCAAAACCTAAATATTATTTAGATAACAATTTCTAATATTGCGGATATGATAACAATTTAACAACATTTCACAAATTAAACCTTTATTTAATTTGCAATTTAAGTTATGTACTGTATCATACAGTCTGTATGTAATTATAATTTATATAATAAGTCTATAATATATTTATAAGTTATAAATTATAACATTTGAGATAAGGGATTTAAGGGATTTTTCGTAAACTATTTAAATACACAATACATCATGATGTCACATATGTTATATAAATATAATGGGTGTCTCAACATAAACCAACTACTTTTAATTAAAATAAAAATATTTACAATTATTTTATACTAACAAAAACTATTATGTTGGAAATCTATTGATATTATATACTGCTTCTGAAAATAATCATAAAATTCATACCCTGGTCATGATTTCTGTTTTAATGCATGCATGTCTGTTTTTACGTATGCTTCTCTCTCTCTCTCTCTCTCTCTCTCTCTCTCTCTCTCAACACAAACGCATGACTTTTTATTTCTTTAATAACTAAAAAAAATAAACTCTTTGATTGATATTAAAAGACATTTTATACAAACAATTAAAACATTAAAACAAATTGTAATTAAATTCATTGAATGACGACTCGAGTAATAAGACTATCACTGAATGCTCGCATCAATTGAATTGTATTATATTCATAACGCTGTAAGAAATTCACGATTTTTATAAGTAAAAATAGACATGCATGCATTAAAACAAAAATCATGACCGGGGTATTTTTATAAAGATTTTATATTTAAAGCATAAAATATTAATAAATTTCCAACATTTTGGTATAGTTTTTGTTAGTATAATTGTAAATATTTTTAATTTTAATTAGAAGTAGTTAGTTTACGTTGGGATAGACTATATAATAATAAAGATTCATGTACAATATCTTTAATAAATAATATAAGTTATATAGCGTATATATTTTTTATTGTTTGTTAATATAAAATAAATATTTAAATATAATTACAACTTTTGAGATAAAAAAGTTTTTAAATAGATTATGCTAAGTAGCATATATTGCTTTAATGAAATGTCTGTCTTAAGAAAATAATAAAAAAGTATTAATTTAAATTCAAATAAATTTATCTTATATTTCTTAGAAGATTTCAAAAAGCGGATGACAATTTCTTTAGCAAACATCGTGCAGTTTTTACTCTTACAAATACTCAAATATAACGTTAATGTTTTCATTAATATTTTCTCTAATAAATACATCAGTTTATACACGAAGGGTTGAAAATTAATTTGTATAAAACGTGAACATTATATATGAGTATTTGTAAGATTAAAAACTGCACGATGTTTGCTAAAGAAAATTGTCATCCGCTTTTTGAAATCTTCTAAGACATATGTTGAAATAAATAAATGTAGTCTTTATTATGTATAAAATACGTCAATAAAATAAAATAATTAATGCATTTCTAAATACATAATAGGCTATTAATAGCATTCATAAAATTATATTTGTTTAATACGTTTTATGATATTACTGTAGCTTATTTTATAATTGTATTGTATATAACTGATATTGTTGTCAGCCTGAATATTAGAATTCATTTATAACTAAACTATAACTATATAACTTATTTATAACTTATAACTATAACTAAATGCATTACTAAATAATTCAAATGTTATCCTTAAATTTCCTTAAATTTTTATTTTGATCTTATTAATAATTTCTAAAATATTTATTGTAATTATTAACTAAAATGATCAACATATTAACTTTACTTTTTATACAAGTAATATTAATTTCAACATATAGTATAACCAGTATTGTTGGCAATGAGACCATTACTATACGAGCGAATAGTGTTTGTTATTATTCATCATTTGATTCAATAGGATGTGAGACTGAAGTGGAAAAGGATATCAATGCAGAGCTGAGTTTGCTCTTTGGTATCCATACAAAGCCAACTACTTTTGATTCAATCTTATGGTCGGGTCCTATAATTGATGGTCACATCAATGATAATGTGATTCCAATGGACTGGAGGGTCATTTACTTGGTTCTAAATGTCACTAATTTAAAACACGTCTCTAAATTAGCTTTCGATGGGGTATATATTGATAATCTACAATTATTAGGTGGTACCACAACTGAGTTAACCATTGAAAACGCCGTGGTAGCAATCTCCAATATCCAAAATAATTTGCGTTCTTTAACAATAAACCTAGATAATAATATCCAACATACAATACCCGGACATATGTTTGATGATCATCGATATGATTACGTGATTTTTGTTGGAAATTTCAACGTATCATTGACTGAAACTATTAACATTTACAATAAAATGTATTTAATGGAGTTCCGCGTACAGAAAATTATGAAAATTGGTCATTTTGCATTTAACCTCACTAACGATGGATATGACTATGGCAATAATATGAGAATAAATCTACAAAACACTGAATTGAATGAACAGAGTTTCGAAGGAAATGCATTCAGTATATCGAACATCAATTATGACCGACAATATGCCATCAATTTTGGTATTTTATATTTCTAATTATAGGCTTCTATTATATGGTCTATTAGAGACCTATGTTTCGTATCTGAATCTTAAGCGGAAGTCAAGTTGCTTTATAATATCAAAAATATTTGAAATAATTTTTCTTAAAAATCCTTTTATGTTATTCTAACATCTTTATAAATATTTAGCCAAAAATCACTTCAATTACATACGGGAAGAGCATTTTGGAAAGATTCTTGATTTGAGTATTAAAACTACACTCGATTTGAGGGACAATCCCATTGGTTGTAGTGCTGAAAATTTGGATGAACTTAATTGGCTGTTGTCTAAAGATAGTTTCTATAAACACAGTGTGCTGGCTAATTGTGCGGGAAATCGGGAATCAATTTGGAATTACGATTGGACACAAATTCCCCCAACAAGTCCCAGTACAGCACCTACATCAGAGCACACTACAGGCACAACACAAAGTACTACTACAAGTCCAACTCAAAGTGCTTCTCCAGATCCTACTTCAAGTCCAACTTTAAGTCCAATTCCAAGTACTACTCCAAGCCTTACTCTAAGTACTACTCCAAGCCTTACTCCAAGTACTACTCCAAGCCTTACTTCAAGTACTACTCCAAGCCTTACTCCAAGTACTACTCCAAGCCTTACTCCAGGTCCAACTCAGCCGACTACTCTAAATCCAAGTATGAAATATGAAGGAAACATAACAATCCAAATCTCAAATATTTAATCTTGTAAACAATTATCTCAATGTTAAAGTGCCATCTCTAAAATGAAATACTCTTAGTTACCCTATGATGTCTAGCTTTAAACTAGACCTCATACCAGTCCCAGCCCTATATAGCAATATATCTGAGTCTTCGAGGAAAGGAAGACATGAAAATTAAAAAAAAAGTATATTTGTGTATTAATTTTATGAAGTGTAGATTCCAAGAAATGCTTTGTTCAAGGACTTTCTTACATACAAATTCGTACAATATTTGCTATTTATAAAAAAAATTAGTCGAAAGCACAAAATGTTTTATACATAGTGTACTGTTTACGAGATATATAAAAGATAAAATATTTGTGATACAGGTTTTGTAATGTTTTCATTCATAAGCGTATATTGTTTTTAAAATTAATTAGAAGTTAAAATTAAAGTATATATTTTTATTTAATTTGTAAATATATTAAAATAATGACCCTCTAGATTTTAGCGAAATAGAAATAAAAAGTATTCAAGAAATTGTGATTTATGCCAATCATATGAATCTTTTAACACAACGTAATCACGGATTAAAATCCACTAAAGAATTAAAGGATATAATTATAATAATTTCTAAGATGAGTACATATTTGCAAATAAACGGTACAACTATTGATGCGACGGTAGCTATGAATATATCACAAAATTTGGTGACTCTTATGAGTCAAGTAATCGATCAAAACGTATGGATGGATGTGAAGAATGCAGAGACCGTAGAGTTGGCGTCAAAACTGTTATATAATATACAGACCATTGCTTTCGCCACGAATTGCTTTTTAAATGCACAGAAAAATACAATTATAATTGAAAGAAAAAATTTAGTTGAAAAACATTATTACTTTTATTTAACCGAAGAAATTGCTTTTAAATATAATTCTTCTTCAATACTAATACCAAATTGTAATCGTTATGAGGGAAGGGATGATGAGATGTATTCGTGTATTAATAACACATCTTTGGGAACATATATCGATAAATTGGGACAATATTTAACTTATGGTATGATTAAAAAACAAATCAATAGCCATATCATTGCGTTTAATATTAGAAATACTAATAAAAGTTACGAATTCAGCGATGGATCTAATGTGAGAATTAGGTATTTATTGAAATAAATTATTTGTAAATCATTTTAATAATTATTAATTTATAAATAGTCTAAAACATAAGAATCGGTTAGTTTTGGGCGATAGAGTTGAGTGTGTTTTCTGGGACTTTGATCACAAGAAGTGGTCATCAAATGGATGTCATGTAATGGAGAGTGAATCCAATCGTGAGATAACTGTCTGTGAATGCAGTCATTTGACTAATTTTGCGGTTCTTATGGACACTTCCGGTCGAGAAGATAATGATTTGGGAAAAAATATTCTGACATATATTTGTTGCAGTCTTTCAATTATTTGTCTCTCAATATATCTGTTATTTTTGTGGCGAAAAAATTTATTTAATATGAAATTAAAGAGTTTGGGAATGAGTGGACATACATTAGGATTTTGGGCAAAACAAGACTTTTTTGTAATGAATTTATGTATTTGTCTATTGATTACAAATCTGCTAACTATTATAGGAATGGATAGAACGAAAAGTCAGGTAATTATATATATTTTTAGAGTATTATACATACAGTGCTGCCCACCAGAGACAGTACTAGTTTAATTTTGGAGCCAGTACACTCAAACCTTTGTT